TGTTGCTGTCGGCAGTTAGTTTAATATTTATTTAATTTAATATGCTAATTGGATGTGATCTGTGCGTGTGTGTGAGTGCACTTCATGGATGGTCCCAACTTTACGAGCAGCCCACTCCCAATTCATAAATAAATGAAAATGTCAAAGTTTTCACATGTCACATACACATAGCCACACACATACACATATTAACTTTGAATTTTGACTTGGCCAGCCCATGGCAATATTCCACCACTAGCTATTAGAGTGAAGTTTTATTAATCGTTGAAAAAATGTTCGCACAGGCGGAAAATGCTGTCAGCGGCTAAAGAAAATGAAGGAAGAAGGAAGCGGAACGAAACGAAAGTGCAGCAAACTTTCTCTTGCCCGACAAATTGTTTTTGCGATAAAATTAGACAAGTGACACGCTCACTAATCGTGTGGGCGTGGCATGTGGTGGAGAGAGATAAAACTAAAAGGCTGCCTGTCATGCCAACCAAAAGCGACGTTAATTATATTTGGACCAGGCCAATGGGACGCGCAGAAATATGTAAAAAATTTAACTCATTGCCGATGCCAGGGAATTGAATTAAAATTGTTCAAAAGCTGCAAGCCCTTTCAGGAGTCAAATTGAATTTGTCAAACAACATAAATAAATGGTAAATCCAACTGATTGCAAAACTCTCTGTCAACCGGAAATGAAATTGCATTCCAAAAAGTATGCAATGAATTATATACGCACATTCATACAAACACATGCACGTAAAAAGTAAAATACAAAACGAGTCAAATAAAAAGGAGAAGAGAGCATGTAGTGGGATACAAACACAAGCAACAGAATGTTGCACATATTGAAAAAGCTCTCGAATGGATATTGAAAGTGAAGCATATGGGAAGTCTTAACTCCTTAATATTAAGCTTTAAAGCGTAGGTTGAGGGTTAGGTGCTCCGAAATTTCAAATCTCGCATAAATAATTGAATGTGAATTACATATTTTAAAGTGTAAAAAGGCATGTAAAGTATATAATTGCTGCCCATAGTCTGTTGTACAGCATTTGTTAATGTGGCTTTGATTCGATTTCATGCCAGTATGTACATCAATACATTTAATATGTTGCTGCTACAAAAATGGCATAAAGTAGAGAGTTACAAAGAGAAGGAGGCAGAGGGAGAGATAGTGATTTGAATCGAAATTCTTCACTCAATAAGAATGGCTTGAGTTTGTTGCTAAACTGTTTCCCATAGCTATAACAACCTTGCCTGTTAATACCTTCTTTGTCAAGAAAACATAAATAACAAATATAATAGATACTGAGTTAATTTTGAGAGATGGCTCTTCAGTTTTCCCAACCTTTATCATATGCTATAGTCATACAGAGTATGCTGATATCGCTGAGCTCAGCATTGAACTTATGTACTCGTGTATAATATACGCATGTTCCTTTTTGTACTCTTTTTCATACAAAGTGCAAATAATATGAATTTAAATTTATGCAAAGAAACAAAAATGAAATACACAATATGCAGGCAGCGTTGAACTGTGAAAAGTAGACGGGAAGTAAGCGAAAATGGTGGCACACACGCATATATGCGGCATGCTGGCAAAGTCAGTCGACGTTACGAGTAGCGGGGCTGGCAGCATATTGAACTTGTCAACATGACAAGAGAAACGGGTGATGGGAAAGCAACTGAATGCCAACGAATGTGTGAATGAATGAGTGAGTGTGTGAGTGAATGAGCTAGCGAGCGTGTGTGCGTAAAGTGATTGTCGATAGTGGAAAATATATGCAAAATATATGTGCATACTTTTAGGGACAGGCACAGGAACTTGTTGAGCAGCAACTGTAGCTGCAAGCTGTAACTGCTGTAACTTCTACTGCTGCTGCTGCTGCTGTTGATGCTACAGCTCCTTGTTTGCTACAGTTTTCTGACACAAGAACGATTGCAATTGCTGCGAGCGGAATGACATTGAGAGGGTGGCTACGGTTGTCTGGGTGGCTGCATTTGTGGCAGGGCTAGTGTGTGTGGCACATCAATTTGAATGACATTCCAAAAAGCAATTGTGACATATGTATAAAAATAGTTGTGCAGTTACCAACGTCTAGCAAATAGTTGTGCAGACATTTTTTGATTGCCACATTCTTACCCTTTAAGAGAGGCACACAAATACACACACTCAAGCTAAGGTATCCGTCTTTCTTGTTACCTTTTATATAGTACACGTAGATGCCAAATTGAAGTTGCCCGTCCTTCTTCTGCATCTATTCAAAAGGGTTAATTTTATAGTTACCAAATAAACGTACATCCGCATGTTCGCCCCAGCCCTGGAACGCTCAATTTTGTTATTTACATTCATGCATTTGAAATATTTCAACATTTGCAAACAGGACACAGCAATGCGGTAGATCCATTTCAACAAGCACTGCACAGGGCTTACCACTATTTATACAGCTTCGAAAACGATAAATATTTCGTTATGTTTAATATATGGTTTGATTTGTTTCGTGTGACTTAAATGTGTTTAGAATTAAAATTTTCCAAAAATATTAAAAGCCTTTTGACTTAGATTTAAAAATAAATATCTCACAATATTAAGCAATCCGAGAAAAAAAACAGACGCAATAAAAAGATTGTTGTAGTTTCTTGCCAATTTAGTGACATTATGCAGACAGAGAATCTGAATTTTCTGGATTATAAAACTTTCGTTAAAATTACTTTCCATATGAAAAGCAAATGTTAAACTGATTTATTGAAATTACAGGAATGGGTGAAAGTAGGAACACCCCTAATCACTAACAATAATTAAGCAGTGACCGAATCGAGTGAATAATCGATAGTAACCGATAGCAGGGAAGTAAGAGGTCAATTGATATTGACCAGTCAAAGAAGAAGGACGCTTAGTGAAATTTGATTTAAACGGACATTTGTGAAACATTGTTAATTATTTTAAACCAAAGTAATCGAACAAATTTGAATAAACTTAATTAATCCAACAAAATTTAAAATTTAGTTTTGCCAAAAAGCATTTTATTTTAGTTCTTTCGCGATTTTTATTCATTTCGACATGCTGGTCATCTTACTTATACACCGAAAAAAAGATTTCCTTGCATTTTTTAGTTTATTATGTAACACGTATTTTTATTGATCATTTATTGTTTAAGGCGTTGAGCTGGCAGGTAAGCTTATTTATGCTTAGCATTTCTAAAAGCAGAATGACTAAAAAAGCTATTTTGCATTTGTTTAATTAATATAGTGCAACAACCGTATTAAAAAACAAAGTGTCATTTGCCGAAAAAAAATGTTCTTTGATCACAAACTACTTACTTTGAAAATATTATGTGCGTTCTGCCCAGAATAGTACCAGAATGGGTCTCTGGGCAATTTATTTTCCCACGATGTTTGTGTACACAATTTAATAATTTATGGAAGCCGAATACTCTCGCAAGGCCAGAAACCGTTTGCCTCTCGAGAGTTGGCATTGCTTCGTCGTGACACTTTTGTGGTTCACTAAGCTGGCTTGCCACTTCAAATCAACATCTAAGGTCTCCAACTTGTGAAGCTCTAAAGAGTCTTATACTTTTCGAACTACAATTCAACTCAAGCTACGATTTGAATGCTATTAATGAAAAAATTTTTGACAAAGAGTGTTAATTAAATTTAAAAAACTAGGTTCAATGTCCACGCAAACATGTACACTTAGAAAAAAAATTGCTACTCAGTATTTACAAATTATAGTCAGTACATGGGATTAATTGGAGCATTATAATTAATTAATTTTGATTTATGTTGACATTACTACTAAACTAAATATTTAGGCAAAAGTATGAATTAAATAATAGAAAGTGTTTGTTGTATGCTGATTGTTTTTAATTTTCTGGTTTTCAGTTTTTTCATATTTTATTTTTATGAAAGAGTTTATTTTGTTATCTTGATTCCTATTGCTTCTTAATTGTTTTGTTTCCGTATTACTTATTTTAGTAAATTGTGTTTTCTTTTAGATATTACAACGAATTTCATCAACTAAGAAACTACTCGGCGCAATGTCAGTTTCTATGTGTATTTCTTTAGGCCTACTGGCCTATACCTATAGTTAACGCGGCTCAGTGTAACATGGACATAATTGTGTGTTAATTACAAACAAACATACACGTGTTTTTAAATATATGTTCTCATTAGTTAACAAAATAAAATATGCAAAATGCCATTGAATTGATAATATTTATAATTTATGTAATTTATACATATTCTTCTCTTACGTAAGTTTAATGTTGAATTATTTATTTACTTGCCATGGCGTTACAATTGCTCGAATATCTAAAACACCAAGGGGTTTTGATATCTGACATCAAAGACAATTTTGATATGAAAAGAAACAAAAATTTATAATAAGTCTAGCTGTATTGTATCCATCGTGAGAATTTGTGTGGTAACCAAGATTTTACATAAATTTACTCAATGTCTTAAGCATGCATTTTTTGATTAACTTAGTTCGTTTTCTTCTGGTTTGTTTTGGTAATTTCTCTCAATGTACAGTTGACTGAGTATTTGAAGAAAGTTAAGCCAATTTGGGAATGTAAAACACCAAAATGTCTCTTCAATGAGTAAATAAATTAAAACACATACCTATGTAAAAATGTTCATTACATAGAATTAAACTCATTCTGAATTTTATTTTGTTATGGTCATAAATGGTTTTAATTTTATTTCAGCAATATTTTGCATTTTGCAAATTTGCAATTTTTTTCTGGGTGTAGTTATGACCCAATTCTGACATTAGATTCTTTCATAAATTAATTTCACTGATAAATTAATTGTTTCACCAAATAAACATGCGGTGCCATAAAATCATGCCAGGAGGTTTCTAAATTAAGCAGCCACGCGTTGAAAGTATTTTAGGTTTGGTTGGCGAGATAAGATGGGAGCCGCTTGGCCTTAGTCGTTAGTCGCTTGTAGTAGGCGTTGGTCAAGAGATGAGAGCCTTTAATTTAAAGAACCCAATATGCCGTTTGTGGCTGCTACATATGCTTATTAATATCGTAGTGGCCAATGACAACAGCACAAATAGTAACAATAACAAGGATGTCAGTTTTCTCTTAAAAAAGCCCCAGAATATGGTGGAGTTATTACACAGACAGAAACGTTGGCTTGTCTATGATGTAGGAACCTCGTTGCTTGTAAGTATACTGTAAGAACTAAGATGTGGAATGGATATGGAGCCGGAATTTCCTTTGATTTCGTCCATAACGGGATATTGCATACCTCAATTGCAAGATCAAGAATAAATCTACTTTAGCACGCGGAATCTATATTACTGTGTTGTGTGATTTAGTATTTGATCTGAAATTTTGAAATATTGACGGAAACACAACGATCAGTCTTTTGGGTACAGTGAAGTGTTTAGTCGCTAATATGTTTTTGAAGACAATACCTATTTATAAGTGCAAGTTTTAAATGTGACGTTATTGGTATTGGTTCTATTTGTATAGCTCTTAAGCATAGCTTGTGCAAGCGGTTGGAGGCAAGCATCCTTTAAATTATAATAACAGAGTCAGTAATATTTATAAACCAGAAGGGTTTTTATACTCTGTACATGAAATGTACAAGAGTATATTAGGTTTGCGGGAGCTGAAAAATGTAACAGGCAGAAGGAGGCGTGGCAGACCCCACAAAGTATATATATTCTTGATCAGCATGACGAGACGAGTCGATCTAGCCCTGTCTGTCTGTCTGTCCGTCTGTCCGTCTGTCCGTCCGTATGAACACCTGGATCTCAGAGACTATAAGAGATAGAGACACCAAATTTTGCACGAAGATGCGTTATGTGTGTATTCTATACGAGTTTGTTTTATTTTTTTGATTTTCCCCCCCACTTCCCCCCTATGGGGGTTTTCCCGATTTTCCATTCGTATAATCGCCTATATCTCGGAGACTATAAGACCTAGGAACACCAAATTTTAGTCCCAGATGCCTTATGTGAATACGCAGAAAATGTATATTTTGGAATTCCCCTCCCTCCCCCCTCTACCCCGCAAATCGTAACTCCCGTAATTCTTGGAATTTCGAACTAAAACTTTGGAAATGCCCCCAGTTAGTTATTATGTGTCCGTATGCCAAATTTCATTATGATAGACCGATTTAACAAGAAGTTATAGCCATAAATATATTTGCTGATGCAGCGCTGCTGCAGCGCTGCTCAAGCGCTGCCCGCGGCTGTTGTTGATGTTGCTGTTTGGTTGACTGCGAAAATGCTTACACAGACACGAATTGATGCGCATAGGCATACATACACTCACACAGACGCAATTGCTATGTAAATGTGCAATTATACACCCTTTACGTGAGTTCGAATACCGAGAGAGGTAAAATCGATCAAATTTTTTTTTTTATTTTCTTAATTTTTTTTATTTTCTATAATTATTGTAAACATATGTACAGAGTATTTCAAAGTCGGGACACCCGACTTTAGCTTTTTTACTTGTTTTAATCTAAATATTTATTTGACAAGTTATCAGTTATTAAAAATTTCCAAAACCCCATTTGGGATTATGAAATTGTCTGATATTCCCTATACACCAGCTTCCTCATGTACGGGTGGTGTTGTTTCCTTATCACAGTAAAAATATGATCAGTTTTTTGCGGATTATTAACGTTCATACCAAGTTTTTCTGTGTCCTATTACGTAGATGACAGCAAACTGTGCTAAGCTTATACTTGGAGGGACACCCAAAGGCCTGGTGTGGTTAGCGGAATTAACGCTTATTTATTCGTTGCCTGCGGGTCCGACGGATTGGCTTCCACGTCGTAAAGGGAAGAAGCCCACCATACCACCAATACCACCCCTAAGAAAACCACCAGCACCACCACCACCAGCGCCACCAGTAGTGCCCCCTCCTGCCCCACCAGCTGTAATTCCACCACCGCCCGTAGGAGTGGCACCCATTATAGTGCCCTATAATCCCTCGAATCCAACTCAACCTTTTATTTTGGCCTCTGGTCGCCGTCATTCCCACGACAATCAAGACCACTCCGCCTGTCCAGCTTCTGATTTATATAAGGACCGATATGGCACTTACTACTGCCGTCCCTCAACTGAAGTTGAACATCACCGAAGACTACGACGTCAATTTGAGGAGGAAGGTACGAACGTGTTAAATGATCACGCCAATCCGCATGCTATTCTGTTCGATTTAATTACATTGCTATCCTCAGTGTAAGTATTAATCATCAATTACAATAGTCTTGCCAAATTTATACTCGAAACTCTCAATATAGGTACAGTTATAAGCCGCGCTATTGCATTATGCGGACGCTGTGTGAGTCGCGTCATTTAATATCGCCTCCAGGTAGAAATCTTTTTCATGATATGTTTCGGATTCTTCTGCGTCATGTGTATCCTGAGATTGCGCATAAGCCGCAATATCGAGAGGCATTTACTGCTGGCCATTCGCTGCACGAGTGCTCTTCATTGTATGGACCACACTGCAAGCACAGTTTTCTTTTGGAACTCATAGAACGGTTCCAACCAGAAAAATCCAAGAAAAATACAAAATTGTAAGAATTACAAAATAAATCAAAAATAACAAAGGCATTTGATATTTTTTTTTCAAATATTTAGACAAATTGATCTCTGTAAGTTTTATGCATTTGGAAAAATTTTTATTTCTTTTTTTTTTTTAGCAGCATTTAGTATCCATGAACTTTGTGAAATGGCTCGCCATTCAAGTTTCATTACCTTTTCATTTATATAGTATCTTATGTAGTATACTCTTTAACTGCTCCACCCTCCTCCACAGTCTTTGAACATTGTTTCATCAATCATTCCTATAGCATGAATATGCTGTTGCGTACCAATTTCGTTGAAACTTCAGACTTCAAATGTACTTGTATAATCATCAGATTTTGTTGCGATATAACAAGTTTGATATATATATTTAAAGTAACTGTAAGCTTTATAAACTAGAAACTTCATAACAAGACTAATAGCATGCACACCAAATTATGTAAGAATGTCTTAAAAGGCAGAAAGGTTAATAAATAATAATAATAAAGTTAATAAGAAAGATAGATAAGACAAGATTACGTTTCAAGTTTGGTGGCTACTAGCAGTTATCAAGGTGATGAACCAAATTTCTTCAATACATATTCTGTCGCCATCGGAGAAATTAAATACATTGACAATACAAATAATGGGTGGATTAGTAAAACCCAAAGAAAATTATAGCTTGATGTAAGTGACATGATTTAAAATTTGTAGAAAATTTTAAGAAGTCATAAGCTTCCCCCAAACTAATAACTATGCATCCTATCTATGTATATATTTATATTTTTAGCGATAATTTCCAGGGATTGGCAGCCAAAGTGATATTAGTTGTATTCTTCTAATCGTCGACTAAACTATCTCGGCTTTTCAGACAAAGACAAAGACATCTGAGGTCAGATGCACGGACTATAGCGAATAAAACTCAATTAATGTATTGTTTTTCCATAGGTCCAATACTCCAGTTAATGTATTTATTTGAATATAAATTGTGAAGTTTTGTGGGAACTATGTATAATATGAGAGTATCACACATACATATTGTTTATAAATTAATGCAAATTGGCTGGCTAAGTTCTAAGCTTTTTGAGAGCAATGACATTAACTAACATAATTTTCACAATCCGTTAATTAAATTTTGTAAAAGTTGTTTTATTGTTGTATTAGTAGAGACTCCAATCATAAACCCTAAGCGAAGCAGCGATAGTACGTAGTTATCATGAGCGCCAAGTAGTGGCAAAGCCATATATGTCGATCTATTATAGAAGTGTAGCGAAATTGAGACATTTACCAACAAATCGTAGTGAATCGAAAAGGGAGCTGCAAACGATATTATTTACTTTTGTGGCAAAGAAACATCGTGCGGTAAAAGAAATAACAAATTGAACAAGAAAGGTGTTTAAAAAAGAGTCCTTCGAAATCACATCGTTTTAGTATCAGCTAAGTATATTTAAAGCGGCCTCAATATCTTTGTGCTACAGTACGATGCAACAACAATAATAAGCTTGTATTAGGTAAAAAGTATTTAATTTAAAAGACGTTTAGTATTAGAAATATAAATCCAGATATTTTTTGTTCCTTAATATAATATGTGGGCTATCACTCTTTCTTTTGGTTAACACCAAAAATAGATACTGGATCAGCTCTCTTTGTTAAATATGGAATTTGGTCACAATTCACGAGTAATGGAACTCCATTTCATATGATAAGAACGTTCTTAATATAAGAATGTTACTTAAACTTTATAACAAACAAAAAGCTTTTTATATAATTATCAGTAATGAACTGCGCAATGCAGTATGCATTGAAATGATTCAAACGGTAACAGATATTGCGATTTGGATTCAGCATGTTTTGCATTTCAGCCTTACTCCTGAGTTTTAAGAGCATACACACCCAAAAACAAAGAGGATGTAAAGACAATATGTAAAAACCCCGTAAAGGTCCTAAAATCAGCTTTTTTCGATATTTCGTGAAAGAAAGATGGAGTGACGTTAAAAAACATTAACACATATTTTAACACAACGGGAAATTTTGATAAGCCCTTGCTGCATTAATCGGACGTCGAGGAGTGAAAATGTACGGTCTATTTCGAGGACATAAGGACGTGAATGATTAAAATGAAGCTAAACATTTAAGAATTAAGAGGAATGTTAATCAAACGATTTAAAGCATTGTTTGTGTAAGTGAAGTGAATATAATGAATAAATAAATACCATATTAGAATATGAATATTGGAATGATTCGCTATTTATATTAACTTATTTCAAGTAGGTTGGAAAATTCAGACACTGTGCAGCGGCTCTTAAAGATCTAGTTGTTTTGTTACTGAACAAGACCATGCTATGTACGCGTGTGTATGTTTGAATATATATTCACATACACATACCCCGTGCTTGTATGTATTTGAGTGTGTGGATGGAAGCCATAGCATATTTTGCAGCACATTTTTGCTACCTCAGAAAATATTGTAATATTTTCTCAACCTTTGCACACCAGCGGCATGCAAGCAATAGCTGCATAGTAGCAGTAGCTGCTGATGTGGTTGTTGCTGTTGTAGTTGTAGTTGTGCATGCACATGCAAAGTAGCTACAAAATGGCGCACAGATGCCTTGGGGCCATTTCCGCAAACCACATGTATAATAAAAAAGATGAGATGGGTGGTTTGGCCACGCTTTAGTTTAGCATTTTTCTTGGCTGCTTGTCCAACATATTGTATTTTTATTAATTTTCTTTATGAAACTTTCGCACCTTAAATAACATTAAACTAGACCATAAATTTTGTCTGCACGTTCATTTACTGCAGTGTATCAATCATATTTGTCTACGATGTGTTTTAAATTTTAAATTAATTTTGTTAACCATTTGCTTTTGTGATGAATTTAATTCTTCTTCTCAGTTAGATTGTAAATCTGTTGGGCGATCACTGACAATTGCACATCAATGGGTTTGGTGTCATCGTAGAGCGATGGTGCTTCGCCCAATATGACAAACGTGCCGACCAATGAGGCAATCATGAATGCCCAAAGGAACAGACGATCCATGACCATGGCCACAAAGCCCCAATCTTGATCTTCCTGTGAATGAAGGTGGGACGAATAAAAGATAGATCAAAAATTAGTAAAGCAATCATAACCAGTAAATTAAAAGTGAAGATGCCAATTTATTCTTAAATGACTGACTTATTTGAGAGACTTGGAGTAATCATATTTATGTGCATCATTAAAACAGTTCACACACAGTTCACATCCATCAATATAAATATTTTGGCACATAATTAGAAAGCAGTTGAAAAAACATTTTAATAATATGTGGACAGATCGAAAAATCAAGACTTCAAGGCTTGAATCATACATGCTTGTCTGTAAATACATTCTGCTTTATAAGTATATTACTAAAAAGTTGATGTGTATGTGCCAAATATTTTCTTTTAGCTATGGCAGCCTAAAGCTAAATGCGCCATTTCGTGCAGCGTCTGCTTTCATTAAGCCCTGTATTTAATCTACTTATACTCGGCTTATGTTCCCTACATCAGCACTCCTCTTTCCGCTTTCTCACCCAATCTTACCCACTCAGTAGTACATGAGTAATTCAAGCGTGTGTCAGTTATCAATCAAACACACGCCCCACCCCCAGCTGTTCGTAAAGTGCTGGCCAAACACAAAATGGCGGCAGCGATAATAAAAAGCAAACTCAAAGATGAAGAGCAAATAGGCAACAAGGGGGGGGATGAAAAATGCATCAAAAAATGAAGAGAGCAGCCGCTTGTTTTGCTTGATTGAAGCGTTTGGCGCCGTCTGATTGAGCTGTGGGCGGGCGTATTCGTGGGTATACTATATAAGGGGCTAACCAATTGCCAGTCAATTGCACAGAAGCAATTAAAAGTGGATTTGCCGAGGATTTTGAACTACAAATATGGAAAAGCTTAAATAAGTCGACAAAAGCATTGAGCCGGAGATAACACAGAGCAGAGAGCACAGATCCAAAGAGCAGCGTGCTCTGTTCGGTGCATAAAGCGATTTTAGTGGTTTTGGGTCAAGCAGCTGGAAGCTGGCAGCTGGCAGCTGCTCTGACTGACCACTACGTCGCCCCATCATCTGTGATGTGCGCACAAACGGAATTTCCAATTAAAAATGCAATCAGGTCGAGCGTCTGAGCCAAGACTTACCGCATTGAATTCATCCTGCCGCTGCATGTGATGCTGTATGAACATGACATTGTGTATGGCCTTCTCCAGCTCGAAAGGGTACTTTTTGCGAGCGGCCACATCACTAAGGGAGTCATCGAGGCCAGACAGCACAGAAGGTAACCCATTATAGCCACTCAATGTGCTGAGACCGCCTCCCAAAGCACCAACTAGGCCACTAAAACTGTAGAGTACAATATATAAAGGTATGCACGTAAACATAATTTTAACAAGTGGCTATGAAAACATAAGCTATTCATTTTAGAATTTCAAGTATTCTAGTAGTTGTTAATTAATATCGGCATTAAAGGTTCTAAATAAATTTTTAATTTGGGTGGACTTGAATTTTGAACAAACATGTTTTGTTACTGTTTGTTTTATCCCATTTTTAAAAGGGTAAAAGGGTATATTACTTTAGTTTCCATTTCTAAAGCGGTTAATGCACATCATTTCAAATGATTGGCTATCAAATTATTAACTGAATAACAGATCTGGGATTTGTTTCTTGCAAGAAATTATTTCGATTTTCTGTCTCTGTGCAGACAGCGTGAGGTGCGGTATACGAACTAAATTGAAACTTACCGATTGGTGGCTGTGGTCACGTGCATGCCATTACAGCCCCCAACGCCAACACGTCCCTGCATGCGGCGCAAGGAGTCGGGACTGGAGCCGCCCGAGTTCATTTGCATTTCATCCATGAGTGCTTGCCCGAATTTGGTTTTGCTAAACTTCAGGCCGTAGTTGATCTTATTGGCAGCTAAGTCGCGGAGCAGATCCTTGGGCACCCGCATAAGGAGCAACTTGGGCAGACGCTTAATGAAGAAGGAGCGTATCCACGGTCGCATCTTATGAGTGCTTGGCTTACGGTAATGAATATTCAGTATGATGATGGTTATGACAACGCTCAGTCCAACCAGCAACATTGTAAAGAGGAGATATTTGCCCAGCAAGGGCAATGCCAACGAAGTTGACGGTATGATTTCGGATATGAGCAAAAAGAACATAGTCTGTGATAGCAAAATGCTAATGCAAAGCGCAATCTTCTCGCCAGAGTCAGCGGGCAAATAGAAGACCAGAACAGAGAGGTATGAAATGCCTACGCAGGGGATTATAAGGTTGACCGTGTAGAAGAGAGTCTTGCGTCGCAGTGTGATGTTGAAGAAAATATCTATATAAGCATTCATTAATCAGCGTTCCAGCAGCAATCCGAAGAAGAAAGTTTAAACAGGGGAAGAAACAGAAAGAGAGGGTGTGTGTGTGGGTGGGTGTATGTAGTTTTTATGTGTGATGTGTGTTGGGAAGAGGGTTCATAGTGAGTTTGGGTAGAGCTTTCGCAATGCATTGGCGAGCAACTAAAGCTTAAAGCCTATTGTCATAAACTCCACGAAACTCACCCGGATATGGTTCAGCACAGCAGGGATAATATTTCTCATGGCGTTCAGCTGGCACCCCTAAAATATCCCATTCCACACTGGGATAATATTCCCGCAAATCAATGCCAATCTCCACTTTGTTGTCCTTATCGTTCTTCTGGTTGATGTGCTTCAAATCGATCTGCAAGAAATAGAGCCGTTAAATGAGCGTTAAGAACGCTTAACACGGCGCACGTTTAAAGTCTAATAACCCGTCACCATCATCATCACCATCGTTGTCGTCATCTCCGTCGTTGACGCACACAAAACACTTAAAGGCAACGGGCGTGACACGCTCATGTCTGCAGGCGAAAGCAGGAGAACTCGAGTATTTTGAGTTTGGCCAAGGAACTCAAGTGCAGTCGTAAAAACTGCACAATGTAGAGTAGCAAATTTAAATGCGTTGACAGCAACGGCAAGTTGGCTGTGACAACGACAACGACCGGCCGACGGACGGACTAGCAAGCGAGCGATGGCGGTCAACGGAAGCGGAAACAGCGGCGGTCGTAGTGCGAACGAAGCGCGCGCACTTGCTTTAATTTTTATGACAGCGACACACACTGACACACTTGTTCAGTTGAGTGTCAATGTGTGTGTGTGTGTCTGTGTGTTTGGCAACGGTTAGACAAGTTTCAATTACACTTTTACAATTTCTCACATTTTAATCTGCCACGCGCCTTTGCGGGCGCACAAGGCAAAATAAAATAAAATAGAAAGGCAAAGGAAAAGACCATTTGCGTCGGCCCTTTTGATGTTCGTTAGATGCCAGCAACGTCTTAGGCTTGTAAGCGGCGTGTAAAAATAAATGGTCACCCATAAATCAGTTGCCACGCCCATCATCATACAATCTGGCGATGTCAGCGACTACCCTCCATTCCTGTACCCATCCCCATCCCCATCCCGTTCCCACCTACCTGATCGCCATCGTAGGTCCAGCTGCCAAATTTCATGAAACATGTTTGCTGATCGAAGGGAAAATAGCGCACATCAATCTCGCAGGATGATTTAAAAATGGCGGGCGGTGTCCATACTACTTTGCCAGTATAATGCAAAATAGCTTTGGTCATGGTTGTGACCACATATTCGCCATCGGCACTGTTAGAAATTGTAAAATAATACTTAATACTATATATATGTTGTGAAGGTCGAATATGATGGTAAGTGCAATAAATATAAAGGCAAAATTTTAAAAATGTATTCACTTGATAGTAAAGGACTGACTCGCGGGTGAATAACTTAATATAAAGAGCTACAGCGAGATTTGGTAAAAGCTTATAGAGCTGACACTGTTTTTTTCATCCTACTTCAATGTATTTTAGGATTGCTAGTTGGCACCACCTCTGACAATACGATCAGAAAGAAAATTGTATACATTTTGTATATTTCTACGGTCTCCGTTAAAAAAGAGGCCAATAGAAATATTTAAAACTGTGTTACTATTAAATATACAAAATATAGTATATTAAAATAAAATTTATTAAGTTCACCTTTCATTGTTTGAAATATAATAGCTCGAAAACAAAATTGAAAAGTTGTTTACAAGGTACATCCCTCTATTAAAACGGTAGTACATAATTGTTAAAATAAAAAAGAATATGCGCTGAATCCATACATAATTACTTACTTGTTATAAAGAACAATGTCGGGCAGCCAAATGTGCTCAGATGGGACGTAGAGTTCAGTTACTCCACCATATTCCGAGGGATCCCATTTAAATTTATGATCCTGCCATTCGTGTTCCAGCCACACGTTGGTCGTTAAAATCTGATCTTTGAGATTCTGGGTGTGCGGGCATGAAAAAAGACACAGACCAATTGTTATACGTTTAAAAGCGTGCTAGGGATGAGTTGCCTACAAAAGCCTCCTGGACTCATGCATCAAACAGGATTTGCATTTATTTTTTGCTTTTTGGGCTTTACTTTTCCCTTTTTTTTTTTTTTTTTTTTTGCCAGATTGCGATGCCAAGTAAGCGCCGCTCTATCATTTGCAGCTTCGCTCACTTTGCCTAGAGAGTGTCGTCGGTTTTGTGTGCTTGGTGTCTCTGTCCGCCCTTGCTGCTAATGTGCTTTTTGCTGTCAGCTTACGGTTTTTGGCTGTTTGGCTTGTTTTATTATCTTTTGAGCCGTGTGGTGGCGGTTTTCGGGTCTCGGATATTCCTTTCCTTTAGCCTAGTGTGCAGCAGCAATTGCACTTCACTGCGTTTGGTGTGACATTTTAAATGGGCGCCGGTTGCCTCTCTTGCCGTTGAAGCTTGAGCTTGACAAATGCATTTCGCAGCAAGCACACCACGGTGTGTTTTCAAAAATTAAATTATTTGCAATCCTAGCCACTTGCAATTATGTATTTAATTTGACTCAATAAAAAGCAGGAGATTCAAGAACAGTTGATACAAAAATTCCGTGGAATTTGTTTTTGGAAGTAATTGAGCTTAATGTTAATTTTTAGTTTTTTTTTGACATTTGCTTCTGCAATGATCCGAATTGCGTCCTCAGGACGAACAAACTTACATTGTGGATAGTGGGCTACGCCAGGCCCCTATTTTAGTTCTACTTGTAAGTACATAAATCTGTATATGCAAATGAATTCAAACAATTGATGCTATTTTAAAATGTATTGGTTTTTAATTTTTAATTTATTGAGTGAAATAAAAATGGCCTATGCTATGATTCAAAATTCATCCTTGCTTCTAAAATATGTTTCATTGCAATGGATGTACCGATTCTGAGAATTTCGAACTGCTGAGATATGCTGCAAAGGACCTAGACTAACTGAAATAAGAAATTAATGTATTAATGGAGCCTTCCAACATAACCCAGAAACGAACACATTATAAAACTTGCTTTCAGATATGTTACATTTGATGTCGAAAAATCTAAAGAGCCTATCTAACAACTTTTTTTTTGGTTTATTACGATATTATAGCCAGTTTGGAAATATTTTCACTTCGTTTGATTTTAGTGTTGATAAAAAAGTTGGGGTTGATTTTTGGAAAATTATTTACAATCCAGCTAAAATTTTCTTTTTTTCTTTCCATTAGCGATCCATTTTCATAATCTGCCAGCACATGGCCTCCCATTTGAAGTACTTGGTCCATTTGTTGATGTTTATTGCATAGCATTTTTTATTTATGGGCAAAAGTTTACAACTTATACCGCAGCGCTCTGAGCCCCCCAGATGATTGAATGGAAGGGCCAAATGTAGCGCGACATTTTAACAAGTTCTCCACTGAAGCGCTTAATTAAAAAAAATTAAGACGAAATGGCCGCCAACTTTTTCAATTGCACTAATTGAGCTAATCAACAAAATTCCTTCCCTCCCCGGACTGAACATGTTTCCACACTTACCAAATCAATCAGCTGTGACAGTCGCAGACCCAATTTGACAAGAACCGTGTCGGTGTTATTGCTAACGGGTCGTATAAGACGATTATAGTTGCTCAGCAGATCATCGTAGAGTCGTTTGGCATCCGGATTGGCCTGCACGGTCTCGCAGAGCAGCAAAAAAGCGAGTAGCAGGCAGAGGAGCTTGCAATGCCGCCAGATGGCCGACAATGGTAGGTTGAGGCGTGGGCGTGTGGACATTGCTTGTGTCAGTTTGTGTGTGGCTTACATGGGATGTAGTGACGTCACGTGGATATAAAATGAGCGGGTTCTTGTATGCCTTTTTTTACTGAGCTTGAAGGCCAACTGGAAATGTGCGGCTTCAACGTTTACGACCGGTGTTTTATTTATACAAACACGCGCACAGGTTTTTGTTTACCTTTGAATGTTTCTGAGGAGCGGGAGAAGTAGCTTTTGATTTTGCTTTTGCTTTGGCTTGCCTCTCTCTTTCTCTCTGTCCCTTGCTATGTGTCTTTCTAGGGTTCTCTCTTGCCTTGGTCTGTGACGTACGAGTATTTGATTGCTAATACGCTCTGTGCCTGTGTGTTTTTATTTTTTAATTTTGGCGAATCCGTAAGCGGCAGTGCTAAGACTGTTAGAAAAGTCTACACGCAGCTGTCTGGATGCTGTGCAGGAGATGCGCACTGGCAGCGTCTCTCTCGCGCTTTCTCTGGCACTCACTCTCTTCTGCTCTCACTCCTTGTCCAGCGTTTTGTAGCAAAGCAGCTGTGAACAAAAGTTGGAATTCAATATGAAGCTTCACGCTGTGCCTGCACCTATGCGTACGCAGCTGATGGAATTTGTTTTCAATGCGGTTTGAGACTCTGTATATTCTTACGATGTGCTACTTATTTTCCACGCTTCTGGCTGGTTGTGATATTCTTTAAACGAGTTTTTCGCAGGCCATTTTGAAGTTAAGTATTTTTAATTTTCACAAATTTCCTATCGTATTTAAATTTGAACACGTTTTGCAACTGCCGATTTTAATTGGATGGCAAGGCAACAAAGCTAGACTTATATTTAAGTTCGACAGCTGCCTGGACGCGCTGAGCTCTCCGTGCTGTCCTGCGTAGAAAATCACAGGATTCGTACTGATGTGGGCATTGTTTTTGTAGCCTTGCCTAACTCTCAACTGGCAATGCTTGGATGCTTCGTATCTCGCGTGCATTTTGTCGCTTGTAGCTTTGTCGCCCTGCAGATGCTGTGGTGTAACGCATGCGCATCAATGGTCACCCTGTTTTCTTGTGTCGGTGCTGTCTCTGGTTGCAGGCAGTCTCTGTCGGTGTCGGTGTCGCTGTGGCTGTCGCTGCTACCAGCAACAAATTCACAGCTTGTCGAGTTTTCTAAGCCAAGCCCTAGCGACGCTGTCGCGCTCTCAGCGACAACTCCATTACAACTCCTCGCACATAAATACATGCATATGAATGTGTATGTGTATGTGTGTGTATGTGTGTGTATGTGTGATAAGTATATATTTTTGGGCATTGCTTTTAGTTTTTGGCTGCGCGTTCCCACTGTGTTACTCTCTACTGCGGCCGCTCTTTGCTTCAGCTTTGGGTCGCTCTCACGAGCCACAGCCCAAAAAAATTCCCCGATATAAGTCGGCTACTCCAAAAACTTCATGTGCACGGGTGTGTATGGATGCCGTGGCATGGCTTTACCAAGCATTTCACATACGCCCCGATGAACACTAAGGCCCGCACTCTGAAGCTCGTGCAGGCCTGATTTTTGCTGCTATAAGGCAAATTTTTCGTAATTGTCAGCATTTGTTAAAACTTACGATAGCAATTGGACCCATTTACATTTGCGTTGTGGACTCCCCCTTTGACATTCTGTATTCAGCATAGCTTACCTCTTGTTTGGGTGCGTTTGGTTGCATGCATGTCATTTTGAGATTTTGAGTTCTTACTGCGGCTTGTTCTACAACAGTTTAACAACAACAAACTACAACATCATTTACAAGACACATGTGGACTCGAACCGACAACAGCATCGAACATCCTGCTTCGTCTGCTGTCTCTTCTTTGTTCATCATCATGTTACAACCCACTGATGATGACAACAGAAGCACAATCAACAATAACAAACCTGGAATGTCGACATACATACATATGGCGTTCAGAGTCTTCGTTGGTTTCACAAATGATTGCTGAGGTCGGTAATGTAGTTGTTAGCCCTAGCTCCATCGTAGCGCATCTAACGCATTATAAATATAATGCAAGAATCGATCAGAATATGTATTACCAATCAGCTGTTTTTTGTTTAGAAAGTTGAGTTAACGTTTGGTCATTGTGTATGAGATCCATTTAATAATGGCTTTGTTGAGAGAATAAATTGTCATAAATTCCATTAGAGAGTTCAATAAAAATGGTGATGATGCGGCAGAGGATGCTACTCTAATTTTTCGAAGGTCAATTATTATAAAAGGTATTACAATTAGTTTTTGCACAGGTATATGGGTTAGGCAGATAACAAGAGTTTGTGATTTTGAGCTTCCGTTTTGTTTGTGTTTGCATATGCAAGGGCGTAGGCAGCTTTTGCCAGGGAGGGGGGTGTGTGTCAAATATTAAAATTTTGATGAAATAATGCACGATGCATTTAAAGAATAACTTATGTATATGATCAATGAAAAAACTTCAACAAATCCAACTCAGATCCATTTTAAGGCGAAATAGTGCGTCATAATAATGAACGTGTGGTCGATTTTATATGGCAACATTTTTTGTAGGGGGGCCAACGGCAAATTTTCATCAGAGTAGTTGATTGAGTTCCTATATTATTTCTTCATTGACTATTAAAAGGCTTATCTTAATAATGTTTTGTGTTTAAGTTTGTAACACACTAAAGGAAGAACGGTATGCCACATTTTAAAGGTACATATGAGCAACATGTGTTAGAGTTAACGCGATAATGCGATAACGCGGGGCTTGTTTTTGACGGGCACTGAGAATATGATGAAACTAATTATATTCAATCATTATGTTATCTTAGCTGTCGTAGAAACAATATGAATCTAAGCACATTTGTATCAGAAACATATTTACTCATAAAGAAATTTAAACAGATTGAATTTGAATGCAATATAAATAAAAAATGCTTTTCAATTGTGCTTTACAAAATAGTTGTAAGCTTATAATTTTCCTATTAGAAGTGCATGCTTATAATCTGCGGGCAAAATAAAAGTACACATATTTCCAAATTACAATTTCAAATATGTGAACAATTTGCAAGATATGTAATTACTTAATTAATTAACTACATTATTCATATTTGCTTAATTACTTTTTGTAATATTGTTTATTTTTTCAATTTTCACACAACAATCGCCGCATTCCGGTAGACCTTTATGCATTTATATGAAATGATATTTAATACAAATAAGTACATATGTGTTTGTTTTAATTTTGTTAATAATGGAATGGTTGGTCGTTTTTCAATCTCACGGCACCATTGTGCCACCTTCCGGTATTATTTAGCCCTTTCCTACCCTTCCATGGGGAGCTATTCTGGGAATTTAGAGTTTTGTTATTGTAGACACAATGTGATTACACAATGCCTAATGACACAAGGACTATCGAAGGACTTTTCCATTTTGTTCATTGGCCGCGTGTGTTTTATGGCTTACGGGCATTGAAGCGTTTGCTTTTTAGACATTTGGTCACATCAGCGATTTTTGTTCTGAATGTGTGTTGCCATTAACTGGAGGAGGAGGGCCCTCGGCCCAAAACAAGACAGCAAAAAATCAATTCAATGTACAATTTATGCGCCTGCTGCTTCATCTCAACGTTCTCTTTGTCAGGCAAAGTTTAATGTGCTTTATTAGGTACTTTATTGATGGCATATGTCGACATATCGGACCGGACCCTTTGTTTGTGATTTGACCAACGTGCATATGCCATTCCAGCCTATATAGGATATATTGCTCGTTTGAATATACTCGAATGTATGTGTGTGTCTGCGTGTGTTTGTTTATTTGTTTATTTGTGTGTTTTCATTAGTCGCATATGTCATTTCTCTTGTCCAACTATATGTATTGTTCTTGCTAATTTTATATATTTTATTAGCACCCACACAGAAAGAGAAAAAAGAATAAATAAATAACAAACTGAAATGAAACACACACAGCGCAATCAAATTTACAACAATAACAAGAACTGCCTCAACAAATATTGCGGCATAATAACAAACAAGCAATTTGGTTGTTTGTATGGCAAACTTTTTATTTTTATTTACAATTTTTTGCAACCTTTTTCTGTTGCGGTTTTCTCAAAAAATAACAACAAAACTTTCCCACTTTTGCCAATAAATCAACAATAACAACAAAGACTATCAACAAGAACTGCAAAGCTAAGAATGAGAGTGCTCGACTGCTAAATACCGTGTAGCTCTTTCCAAATGCATAAGATTGCTGAAGCTGCAAAAATATGTTGCATGCTGCTTGAAAATTGGAAATGGAAAATAAATGCCCTCTAATGTGTCATTACATATTAATCTTCTCTACTATGTGTCCACTCCATATTTGTCGACTCAATAAACAAAAAATAACAAATCCATATTTAATGAAGAGAAGTTTCTACTTTTTTGCTTAGCATTGTTACTGAAGTTCGAAGAAATAGTTTCTACTATTATGTTTAGCAAGCAGTAAGTCTTTTCATCATTTAATAAAAAGTGGTGCACCTTATTTAAGTTGGGTCTTTTCTTAGCTTTTTATACATAGAGTTTTATATTTTCATATCGAGCGAAATGTGAATGGCTTTCTTAGTAGTTATGTGATAGGGTAGTGTTGATATGAGAATTTTGAATTACAAGTAAAATGAAATAAACCTCTGGTTGATGTTGGAGAAAATTTATGACATTAATTAAAAGCGTAAATAGCTGAAAAGATACAAAGTGTAAATATAATTAAATGGTTTTTGTAATGAATATTTATAGGTAAAAATATATGCTTATAATATTCGCTGCATATTCATAAGTAAGTGAAAATTTTATTGTACTATATTTGTACTTTTTTTTACCGATATCTTTACAAATGCACGCCGGTGCTGGTGGTAGAAGAACCCCCTCGGTTTCGTTTATAATACTGTTTTGACTCTTATGTACAGGATTTAATCATCTAGATTCTTTAAATATTTAGCAATACTGGCATAAATAATCATATAATTAAACTCAACAGTCTGAGTATTCTTGAGGAGGTGTGGAAACACCTTGAAATATATATAAACTTTAATTTGGTAATGAAGTTCCAAGGTCAAGGCGGTCTTAAAAGCAATCAGCCAGGTGGATAATGCTTAACCGATTTTTGTGATGATGCTTATAAATGTACTTAGCTTACTTTAATGAGTTGTCTACTTGAAAAAAAGCGAATATGCCCCCATGCCCTACGTGTACAGGATATCAAGAGAACAGCCAGAGGAGGAGAACGTTAGGAAAAAGTTTGCACCACTATCAGCTACAGCTAAAGTTGAGACAAACACGTAAACGCCACGTCGCGGTGGCGGCTACGTGGGCAAGCCGTCTGACTTTCTGGCTTTTAAAACGTGAATACCCACACACACACACACGCACCCATACACTAACACAGTGAAAAAGGGCTGGGACAGCCACCCCTCATGGCCAAGAGAAAGCGCAAGAAAACTCAATTAAAATTTAAATTTTCGAACGTAAATGACAAAAGTTTCTCAACTATAAATAATCGGCAGTCAAGCTATAGTCGTTCTCTGGTTTTGCCTCACTTCAAAATCTGACAACGAAGCTTCATTCGGGGTGTAGGTGTGTGTGTGTGTATCGAGTGCGTGCGTGGCTGCGTAATCGAAAGTTTTGTCTATTTTCGTACAATTTATCTAACTTTTATGGCAACAGCAGCCAAGCAAGCACAAACAGCAGCAACAACAAATGGCATTTTGGCCAGAAATTAATTGCAAAATTGTGTGCGCGTATATTTATTTGTGAGTTTGTGTTCGTGTATCTGTATC